ACCCAGAGCAGGGAAGAAGGACACTCAGGAACATTGTGGGGAAGGCATAAAAGGTAAGAGGAGATCCYACACAAGGGAGTACAAAGGGAGAGACTGGAGCCTGTGGCCTCACCTGCCATGTCCCCTGGCACAGGGACACAGGGATCAAGGCAAGGGTGAGAACAGCTAGTTGGGAACACGGCAATGAGCTGAGAGCACCAGTGCACCAGTGCTGCTATGGGTGGCTTTGAGGGACAGAGTTGTTGGTACAGCAGGACATGACCAACTAGAGAGGAGGGTAAGTGTCCAGTTTGGGGATGGAGAAAACACTAAACAGGCTAAACTAACACTAAAAAGAGCAACTTCCCAGAGCTAACAAGCCAAAATGATAAAAAAAAAAATCAAGGATTTTTATGTAACTACCACAGATGAGTCCTTCAGAGGATGAGTGGTGGAACACAGAGAAAAGCACATCTGCTTGCTCCATGCTTCTTGTTTGGGTCCCCCTCACAGGGCAGTGAATTTAAGCAGCCCTTGGGCTATAAGAAAGTTTGGCTGGAGTCCATCTTCTCTTTGAAGGATCTAATGGATTTGATCCATCTCTTACAACACTGCTCTGATGATGTGATTGTGCAAGGAAGTAAACTCACTGTCACTCTTTCCCTAGCAGAAGTGGCAAAGGCAGAAAGAGAGGATGGGAATGACTGACAAGGACAGCATTCCAATAACCACAGCTGAAATCCCATTAGGCAGARGTAAGATTTGCTCCTGGTCTTCAGCACAGGACAATCCCCTCAGACATCTTGTCAAAGACATACCCCCTGTACCCCACTCCATCAGGGCCAAAGGAAGCCACGTGCACCCAGTGCACTCACAGAGCCATTGTCGCTCTGTGCTCACTGACAAGAGCAAAGAAAAGCAGCAGAGATGGTGYCAGRCTGGATGGGGCTTGGAGCAACCTGGTCTAGTTGAAGGTGTCCCAGACCTTCTCAGGGAAGTTGGAATGAGATTATCCATTCCAATAGAACAGGAGCAAATCTTACCTCTGCCTTTCTAACCAAACAATTCTATAACCTTATGATCTTGGAACTTCTCTTGTCTGCCATGTTCTCCTCATCATACACCTTTTGTGCCACACTAGATATGCTTTGAGYACCTCTAAAGCCAGGTCTAAAACCAACTCATATTAGGAATTAAGCCATGTCTTAAAAGCCAAGTAGGGACACAAGAGCTTAGTCTTGCCACAATGGCAGTGGTGCACCCTGGTGAASTCATGGCCTGAAGAGTGGGAGAGCTCACCTGGCAGCAGTACAGGCAGGGCAGAGACACAGGAAAACTGGTGTTGCCTCAACATCTCCTAGTGTATTTCTCAACACCTTTTGCTCACTAGAGCCTATCCTGAAGAAACTTCAGTCCAAGGACTTTGGATGCCCTCAGGCTTAGGCAAGGTGCTTGTGAGCACTGCTTGTACATAACTAATGGGATTAAGTCCCTTTTGTTTTTGAAAATGCCTACATACTTTGATATCCTAACTAGATACCTTCTTGTAAAAGAAGGCTACAATCAGGCCTTTRGGCTCTGGTTGTTGACTGAGACTTGAAAGTGGTTAAGGAGGAACCAAAAGGAACATTTCAGCAACAGTGAAGTAGAACACTAGGGATGTTTACAATGATTCACATTAAAGTATGTCTCCTGCACAAAGTTAGCACTAATTTTTTTTAGTTATGACATCCAGGAAACAGTAAAATTAAAATAATCCCTCCATCTTGGGTATTAATTAGCTTAAACTCACAATATCTGTAGAATGAGTTATATTTATTTGACCGTGAAGAAAATTGAGCAAGTGTAATCCGTTCCTGGAGCAGAAACGGATTACAACATGTTGTGGATTTCATGTAGACAAGGGGACTGGTGAGATGTGTTAACCATGGAATTTCTATCTGTATTTCTGCTTTGTTAATGCCTTAAAATTTGAAATGAAAGAATGTCACTTTTGGTTTGGGAAAAGCAATTAAATTCCTGGGAAGTGAAAGATGTAGCTCAGATGAGATTGGAAACATTAGAAACAGGAATGTTGGAGCTGCTTGTCTATATTAAGTGAATAAGAGAAGAGTTCCTGTGATCATGATTTTGCTGTAACTCATAAATGATTGCTGGAATGAAAGGCCTCTTGGGTACCACTGGGGGAAATTTATCTATAAATGTAATTTCAAGTTCTTGCCTTCCATCAATGGGAACTTCCCTTGGAATATGAGAACAGATAAGCAAATTAGAGACACACAAAATAATCTCTTGGATCTAAAATTCTTGACTGTACAACAATTGACCCATACCCAGTCTCTTGCACATAAAATCTCAGGTAARAATCCCCCCATGACTTCACTGACAGTGAGCCAGGGTGACCCRTGTGCAAGCTGCCTGGAACTGGAACACTGAATGCTGCCAGTGAATCAGCATTACCATGCTGGAGATCCACAACTGTTATATAAAAGCCAGAAGTAGGYCATATATTCATCTTTGTCAGCAATAAGATGTTTTTGAGGCTGGGTTTGTGCTGCCAGGTCTGAGGGCTTGCAGTACAGCCAGGAAGGAGGTGCCGAAGGCACTGAGTTAAGCAATGCTCATGCCAGCACAGGCTGAAACTGCAATTTTACAGCTCAGAAGCGTCCCCTGATCAGACCTGCTCTCCCAGGGGTCCTACACTGCTACCAGAGTCCAGCCTGGCCAGGACACTGAGGATACAGTAAATCAGCAGAGAGGAGCAYTTTCAAACTCTGAGAAATTAAGCCCTTGGCTTGGTAGAGCACACCAACTTAGTTACATGCTATTGAGGTTCCGTGAGATGTTCTTTTGTTTTCTCTATGCTACAGTACTCATCAGTTTTAAAATATATAAACTGTGAATTAGCAATAACCTTGCCAGGAAAAAAGGAGCAAATTTTAATACTTCTTGTCAGTATTATATGTCTTCTCAGGTGCAGCTAATATAGGGTGTGTCTGTGGGAATGCATCCAAGACAGAAGATTAATTCAGAGGAGGGGGACATAAGGGCAGTCCTAGGAGCTTGCTCAGACATTTTCACAGGTTGAAAAAAAGAATATTCACAGCAATATTCACAGTCACTTCKTTAAGCCAAAAAAATAGATTGATATTATATATCATGCTACTTATGGACCCAAAGAACAACATCAAAGAGAATCTCTGTGGTTATGGAATTTTCTTCATAAAGCATATTCTAGGTGATTGATCCCTTGAGAGCATTGGGGAATAGCATCAAGAAAAGTGGTGGAGAGGTTGACAGAGTATCAAAAACATGTCCTTGAGAAGGCTGATAATCAGAAAACTATATAAATTTCATCAATACATTCCTAGGTGGTTTTAATGGCTCCTAATAGTCCTCTCATTAGAGAGAAAGGTGGATGATGAAAATTTACTTCTTTCTAGTACACATGGAGATATGGAGGGAAGCGAAAAAGGAGTTGGAAAGCTACAAGGGGGCTCTAAGTACCAGAAGCTGTTTTAGCAGAGAGATATTTTATCTGCACAGGAGAAGTCTGCACCCAGTTCTTAGATTCATCTCCCCCACTCAGGGGCACCTCTCAGAACTCTGTGACTGGAGTCATTATCAAAAGTTCCCTCAGGGGATTGCTTCCCCTTGGCTCAGCTGGCTCATTYTGGGTCATTCCCTRWKCCTGTCCATCTCCTTGYRGGACTGGGGAGRGGATGTCTGCCCTAACAGMAATGCCTCAAGTAGGTCTCTGCCTRTAGGGCAGAAAAGTACCCTAAGTGACCAGGAAACCCTTGTAGGGCACCACCAGTCTTGCCTGTCCCTGTTCCAGAGCCAGCAATCCCTCATGTGCTGCCTGTGGATGGCCACCGGCATGCTGTGCTCTGGGGATCCTTCTGGTACCAGCAYAGTGCTCTTCTGCAGGAAATAATTTCAGCAAATACCTCAAGTGTACAACRTATTTATAACCTCTCCTTTCACATCTCTGTTATTGCACCAGCTCTGTGGGAAGGTGTTTATCTCTGCATATTCAAAGTCCCACCTGCTCCTCAGTGCTGCAGGCTTTCCCAAAGTCCTGTGTCAGTCCCATGCAGAAGTCTTGGACGTGTAAGACTGCCTTCAATAGCAGTAGACATCTGTCTTCAGGATTCCCATCCCCACTGCTTTATTTTCATTTGTGGTGATGCACAGAAGGTGTGATTGGATACAGAGGAAAAATGGACCCAATCCAGAGTGGACCTGCTGTTGAGTCTGAGTTCTCACCACCAATGGCAGAAATGGAGAGCAAAGAAACCTCTCTCTGACAAGGACAGCCATCAAAGACTTTGATCCAGAAAACCTCAGAGCTTTTTAGAACCTTTTGATACGTATCGCAAAGGGAGATAGTGAAATACAAATTACTGAACAATTTCCTGAGAACAGTGGAAAAACTGCTGAATAAAAGTAACATGAAAACATCTTGACTCAATTTTTATAATTTTTATATGTGCTGGGGGATGTGTTTTCCTTGTTTGTGTTAATTCCACATTTTCCTGCAGGAAAAAAAAGAAAGTTACATCCACGTGCATGCTATTTTARAAAACCGCATAAAGAAAGCATTGCTGCATCAAGCAGGGTGTTATAGCAGTGACAGGACTCTACCAAAGGAAAAGATGGTGGCATTATAATGGCTTCCTGAGAAAAAAGGTGTCAATCCCCCTCCTCGCCAAAAAAAAAGGTAGAAAATAAATTTTCTGCTTGTAGTCTACAGTTCTGCAACCATCTGGSAATATTTATACCTTTAGGTACTTCAASAACTCATTTGAAATCAATATYAACTTTAAATGGAAAGCCTTAAAGAGATATGCTTTAAGTTTTGGAGAGTAAAGACTGCATTTTAACAATTAAAATATTAATAAGCTTATTAAAAAGAGCTACAGGTCAATTATCTTCTCATTAATCATATTTCCATGTTGCAAAACCAACACAAGGGTGGAACCGGATGAAAGACAGCACTGATCTGTTTTATAGTAAAACCTTTGTTTTGCATGTTCTGTTGCTAGCTAGACATTGTGAGAACCARTGAGTCAGGGATTGGAAAGCTTTATAAAGCAATCAAATACTATATAAAGGTGAAGCAAGTGTGTGGCAGACTACAAAAAAGACTTGTCTAAAGGCTACTGGAAATGAGAATTGAAAATCTCCCGTTTCTCCTGTTATTATGTGCAGCACTTTCTTGTGCTTTCCCTGCAGATCCAAGAGCGACAAAGGAAGAAGGCACACAGCTTGTCCAGGTGAGGAAAGCAGMGCTCTGCCCTACATTCTGTGCAACAATAGCCAAAGAGCAAGCAGARTAAACAACAGGATTGAATATTTCTCAGATTGGAGGGGGGTAATGAGATTACAAAGGCTACTTAAACACCAGCTTATCTTGTTTAATGCTTTTTAGATMACAATTCAATATTATGATGCATTCATTCTGTGTTGATTTTACAAATAATTAAACTCTTGAGTCAGTCTAGGGTTGGTTTGTAGTTCAGGTGGCAATGAGGTTATTTTTGTGACTTGTGATATTGCGAAACATAACTCTTCATGAAGGAAGTAGAGTATTGTTTTCTGAAATATTACTGTCTAAAATGTGAGAAAATGAGATATTACTACTGAAATTTTATATTCAGTTATGTATTTCAAATTACTTCCTCTAAAGGACTCTAGGTAGCCCTAGGGCACAGGATAAGTGGAGGGCACATTATCAGAAAATAATTTATTAAACAAATGTTAATTGTAAATATATTTTGATAACACCAAAACTTTTATAGTTTTGTACCATTCTGTACCAAAACTACCATTATGAGAAAAGTATTCATACCGGCTTTAACGAACTAATATCCATGCTGCCATGAACAGAAAGAAAAGTAGCAAAGGCACATGACTGACTGATGTTAGTATAACATCCTAAAAGCTTCAAAATCAAACGCAGTTGTTGTTCTAATTTCATTTTGGTTTTTCTCATTAGAAGTACCTGGAAAATTACTATGGCTTTAAGAAAGATGGAGAATCTTCTGTTTGGAAAATTAATAGCCCAATGGCCCAAAAACTAAAAGAAATGCAGGAATTCTTTGGGCTGGAGGTGACAGGGAAACTGGATYCTGGCACTTTGGAGTTGGTACAGAAACCCCGCTGTGGATTCCCTGACGTAGGTGGGTTCTCCACCTTTGCAGGAGAGCCAAAATGGACAAAACAAGTCCTGACATACAGGTAATCACAATGGAATTATTCATGTCAAGACAGTGTGCAACACAGGGTGAGTGGTAAGCACACAACTGGTTTCCTTTGTTACATTTTAAGGATAGTAAACTACACACCAGACCTGCGTCCAGCAGAGGTCAACGCGGCCATCAAGAAAGCCTTGAGTGTTTGGAGCAGTGTGACCCCACTGAGATTCGTCAAGAAGGACAGAGGTGATGCAGACATAAAGATCTCCTTTGCAGCCAGAGGTAAGACTCTATGTAACCAATACACATTATTGCCATGTTGCTGCAAATTATGGAGAGGTTGACCTGGAATGATTCCTCCTCATAGGCAGCACATGCAGGGTTCAATGTCCTGTTGAAAAAGCAGATAGAAAAAAAACAGGTCATTAGGTGCTATGGCTGTAACTCTTGACCGATTTTGGGGAAGGGCATAATGTCAGATGAAGAGAAAGAGGAAGAAAATAAATATAGGGAGCTGCCAGTAGTTCACTGAATCTGTAAGTGCTATTTGCTGCTCAATGTGTGTGTGACCCCCAGTCAGCTGTGCTTGGGATTTGCTCCTCAGGTCACAACGACTTCATCCCCTTTGATGGCCCAGGAGGATCCCTTGCTCATGCCTATGCGCCCGGAAAGGACTTTGGTGGAGATGCTCACTTTGATGAGGATGAAACGTGGACCCAAAGCACAAAGGGTAGGTAATTCAGTTCTCCAAGCCCTTCCTGAAGAAAGTTGCACGTGGAATCAAGGGTGCAGAGTCTATCTCCTCTCTTCCTTAACAAGTCCTTGAACTGCCACTGATGTGAAGGAGCAYTGGACAGTTGGTTTTCAGAGCTGTTAGAAGCCTCTGACCCTCTGGTTTAAGAAGTTAAGGCCCCAGCYGAGCTTCTGCCATACACTGGGGTGTGGAGATTCATTTGTAAGGGGCTCCCCGTTCTCCCCAGTCTCCAACCTCTTCCTTGCACAGTTACCTCACTTGCACTGGCCCAGGGTCCTTCTCCCACACTGAATTCTGTAGATCTACAGACTATTTACTTGTACTCTGCTATAACAATTCCATTATTTTTATTTCTGACCAGAATTTTGTCTCCAACTGAATTTCCCACAAGAACTTCATTWGCTTAGGCAAGGAGGTCTGAAAGCTTCTGACCTGCCTTATTCCCTTCATGTTATTCAGGACAAGTAAAGACACAGCTCTGACATTATGTGTTTTGTTTGATGTTTTCAGGCACAAACCTGTTTTATGTTGCTGCCCATGAGTTTGGCCATTCACTGGGACTTGCCCATTCCAAACACCCCGATGCTCTGATGTATCCAGTTTACAGGAAATTTGACCCTTCTGTACTCCTTCATGAGGATGATATTACTGGCATACAGTACCTCTATGGTAATTCAGAATTTTTCATCAGCTACTGCTCRCAATTTCAAAGACTTTGGATACCTTTCAGTGATATTTTTGTGTACTGGAGAGATCTCAATGAGTTCACACTATAATTTCTTTTGTAGTTTTAGGAAAAAACTACAAAAGTTAGTTTTAAAAAACTAAAAAACTAAAACTACAAAAGTTTTAGTTTTTAAAATTTTGCTTATTTTAGGACCATCTCCTAACGCAAACAACGATCAAAGGGAATCTACTGAGGTAAAAGACCCAACTGAGTCAAAAGATCCTGAACTGCCAGACAGCTGCAGCTCCAATTTAACTTTTGATGCTGCCACCACTTTCCGTGGAGAAATAATGTTCTTTAAAGACAAGTAAGTCACCTTCTGGAAATTAAATAGCTGGGTGTCACTTTTTAAATTATGCCCCACAGCATAGAAAAATAACATTAATCAGAATATCAGCCATTCAGGACAGGGTGTCAGGAGAAGAGATGGAAAACAAAAACAAAGAGGAGAAGAGAGGCAAGTATCAGGAGGAGGATAACCTTTGGAACAGAGGATGCAGTGAATAGGTTGGGAAAAGATGGCTCCTCTGCAAACATGGGCAGTTTCCACTTTAGGCTGTAGGCATGTCCCAAGTGTTCAGGGAGATTTCAGCTTTGGCTAAACACACCACCAGCTCTGGGACGCTTCACACCCTCCTTGCTGTCCTGGCTTTGAGAGAGCTGAGGGCTTACTAATCCTGACAAAACATCTGATTGAAGAGCCCCTGTAGAGAGGGTTTAACATAATAACAAAAGGAAAGGAAAATTGGGCTTTTGTTCCCAAATTCTTACCCCTTACCAGCCATGTGAGCSAAGTCTCTCTAAGCCCAATTTCTGCATTAAGGGAAATAAACATCTTGACAAGCCAGTTCATCTGACCTATTTTAGATGTCTGCATCAAGAARAGAGCAATCCCACCACGGAAATAACTGTCTTTACATTAAGTTACAGTGTGACCAACCCAACCAACATGGTTGGTTTTAGTCAGATAAATATTGCCCTCGTTGCCGTGCTGTGGTTTCATGCATTAGTGTGTGAGAACATCTGATTTTCTGTAAAATCTCTCCTGTATTTACACAAGGCRTATTTGGCGCAAACATCCAGCAGTCAGAACAGCTGAGTTTGATTTAATATCTTCGTTCTGGCCACTTCTGCCACCTGGTGTTGATGCTGCATATGAAATTCCTGAAAAAGATGAAATGGTCGTTTTTAAAGGTAAAATGTTGTCTTTTATATTTTCCCATGTTGTCTTCCCAATTAGCTTGGCAGGTTGTCTGGCTTCAAAATCACTTAAGTCCTTTCTGTAGGATTTCRCAATCTTTAACTTAGTTCAATAAATATGGTGTGTTTCAATCACAGAGATAGCAAAAATATTATCCAATTAAAGAATATGCATCTTATCTTTAATATCCCTATAGAAAATTTTCCCTCCCAAAATGAATGTCATTATTTTCCCTTTTTTTCTGGGAAATTATCTGTTGAATTTAAAAATTATACCACATGCATCTTCCAAGCTTCGTGGGAAAACTTAGTGGGAAATGAATGCAAGTATGAAGAAAGATTGAAATTTCAATTTTCAAAAGCAAGTGATGTGAACAAGTATTGCAATTTTGGACTGTAACTATTTACAGTTATTTTCAAGTTCAATTATTATTTTCAAGTAACCATTAGCTTCATGAAAAGGATACTGYCATTCCCAGAAGAAGATTCTCATAGCATGCTGTTATGAACTTTTCTTAACAGGGAATGAGTTCTGGGTTGTGAAAGGAGACACCATTCTTCCTGGATACCCRCAAAAACTCTACACCCTGGGCTTTTCACAGGATGTTATCAAAATTGATGCTGCTTTTCATAATGGAAATGAGGGGAAAACATATTTCTTCATAGCGGACAAATTTTGGAGGTAATATTTCCTRTGGTACTTTTCTAAATAGAAGCAAACATAATCACATGATCAGTATCCTGTCATGATTTAGGATGCATTAGTCAGACACTTTTGGTGATCTCTTTCAGCGTCACAGCTGCAGAAAAATATTTTAAAGGAGGTTGAAACTGTGTGTTTAGCTTTCCTTTTGATCAATTTAACTACTTAACAGTTTGTTTATTTATTTTCATTTAGCTGCCTTCAGGGGAAAAAAAAAAAAAGCCATCATAGCGTTCCACATCTCAGAAAATCAGTCAGAAGCTCAGTGTTTATATCAAAATGTTTCTGTGGAGTAAGAAGGAGAATGTCACCCACTTTCTGGTTGCTAACAGATAGTTTCATGAAGCTGCTGATAAATGCCATGCACTGCAAAGAATTATTTGCTGTGCATGGTTATTATTTTTTTCTTTTCAATCCAGTCCCTGCTGATTAAGTTTGTCTTACATAGATTTCTAACAGCCTACTCCTGTAATGGAAGCAGCAAAGAACTTGAATTTTTGTAGATGAATGACAAAACTTGTCTTTCCTTCCACCACAATGCCCAAACCATTGAATATACAGAGGTTACCCTAGAGTAACTATTCAGCCATATATTTGTAGTTAAGGCAGAAGAACAGAATTCTGATTAATTTTCAGTCAAAATCTTGTAAAGTGAATGATCACTTTTATCATTAAATCTCTTGCTGAGCAAATTATCAAAAGGGAAAAGCTTTCCCTAGCCTTCTTATTGCAGCACTGAAAGATAAACTGCCCTTCACCAAAAAATCTAATAGCTTGCTGTAAGTAACTTACATAAATTGATTAAAATAGCCTATAATTTCAGAAAAAAAMMAAACAMACAAACATATTTTTCCTGATGAACATTTCTTACAGAAACATAACATGAAAATGATCTCTTTATTGTCTATTATCTATAGCCACTTTAGGCACAGTCTCTTAGAAAAAATATAAAGCAGATATGTGGTGATGGTTCAATATTAGGTATTCTTAGATGTATTGTAAGATGGAGTAAATAGAAGCAATTCCTTTAATGCAGTTAATAGAGTAATAATTAATTTATGGCAAATTTTGTCTCTCTCTACACTACCAAAATGATACTAAAAATCTTCAATGAGTTTGGTTATTTTTTGATAGGTAGGAGATAATGAGCTGAGAATAATTAATCACGAGTTGTTTCCAATTCATATTGACTCTGGTTTGCTTGTAATTTTTCTCAGTTATGATAAAAGAAGTCAGTCTATGGATAGGAAGCCATTACTGATAAGAGATGCATTYCCAGGAATTAATGGGAAGATTGATGCTGTTTTCCAACATGAAAGTAAGTAACGGTTCATACTAAAATCTATATGGAATGCTCAGTGTCACAGGGCTGAGAGTGCTTGGGCAGAGAGAGGCACTWCTAAATGCTGCTCAGAACCCACAGGATGGCCAACAAGACCCTGAARCAGTCACATAACCATCCCATGCTTCACTTTACACCCTTGAAAAATGGTGATGGTATGAAAAATGGCACCCTTTGGTGAAGGGTGCACATCTGGAAAGGCCAGCTCTAAGGGACAGATACATCTGAGTGCATGCTGATGTGCACATGACAGCACATCTGGATAGGGCAGCTCTAAGGGACAGATACAGCTGTGTGCATGCTCATGTGCACATCACAGCACATCTGGAAAGGCCAGCTCTAAGGGACAGATACATCTGTGAGCATGCTGATGTGCACATCACACCATGAAGACCAACACTCAAGACAGTGACATTTCAACARCATAAGGTCTGCCTGCGATGAGCAAGGCTATCAAAAACTGACCCTCTGGCATAAAATGGGACTTTTTAGTCCCAGTTGGCGCCATTTCTCCTGCATGAGGGTGAATGTTACTCAGGGAAATGCAGGACTAGACTCAAGGATACTTTCACACTGCCAATTGTCACAGATTCCCAGTTGTCTCCTTGCTCCCCACCTGCTGCTCATCCAATCCTATGCATATTAGCTGTTTCTTGGCACACGTATCATTTTCCTCCAAAACAAGTCTCATCTCACTCGTGGTGCTGAGAGATGCCAGAGGACAGGGTGGATGTGACCTGCCCAGGCTGGATATCTCCTTCCCTGCCTGTAACCTGGCAGCACCCACCCAGCGAGYCCCTGCTCACACCTTGCTTTGTGTGCCACGCTCTGCTCTGTGCCATATCTACCCATAGGTAGCCAGAAATGTACCCTGCTGGGGGTTCCAACACAGGCCCTGGGTAAGAGCAGGTGTTCAAACCAAAGAAACGTGGGGGATGCATGTTGGCAGCATAATTTTATCCAAGATGTTGTTAAACCATACTAATCTTTACAGCTGCAATATCACAATTCATGTGGGGTGTGTTTTGTTTGTTTTTTTTTTCTAGGCTTCCTTTATTTCTTCTGTGGAAGAAAGCAAATTGAGTTTGATCTTGATAAGAAGAGAGTGACGCGCTTCCTAAAGACAAACTTCTGGTTTCCATGTTAAAAAAAAATGAAATCTGTAATGGTGTTGGAAAGAACATGGTGTTACTGTGCTAGAAATGCTTTTTCTCTATAAATATATGGAATGTACGAGTACTTCAKCACTAACCAGCAGACCTCAGTCCCTGCACAATCTGTTTCTGTAAATAACAGAACAGTACTTCACATGCCAACGTTAAATACAGATGTAGCTAACATGTGGCTGGCTAGCTTACCAGAAAACAATAGAGTTTTTACTTTTGATAAAAAAATTGTGACTGATTGTATCATTTCTGCCATCTTCTCTTCACACTTCATGCTGCACATCACCCTACACAGAGCTCTATCATGGTGCCAGGAGTCCATGAGGAAGAACATTCCTGTTCCTCAAGATAGGATTGCTTTCAACCAGTTTTAGWTATTTCAGAGTTAAGCAAGCAGACTAATCAAACTTCTGCTCATAATTACAGTGAGACATACAGGAATTCCAGAGAGAAATCCCACCCAGCCTGAGGTGGGTGCTGAGAGAGGGAAATGCTTCTTTTTTTCATTGACTGCAGAGGTAGTTGATGTTGGACAACTGACTATAGAAGGCAAAATTGAAGTGTGACGAATTCTRCCCTAAGGTATTTACTGACATATGTCATTTCCCATGCAGTGTGCTCTATGACAGCCCTGTTTGATTGGGGAGGTTRGAGCAGATGACCCCACTGTGGTCCCTTCCAACCTCACCCATTCTGTGATTCTGTGCTCCAAGGCTTATCTCCACAGACAGAGGAGCAGATGGACACACTGGCATGTAGGGAAAACCCAGACACCGCTGACCTGCCTCCGCTCCTCTCCAGTTATCCCTGCGGAGACCCTATAGGCTGGGGACATTATGATCATATGTCAGTGCAAGAGAGTCCTTGTCACCTCCCAGGCTTAGGGRTCACTGCCAGGGCAATAGGGATCAATATCCAGGGTGAGACAACCTGGGGATTCTGTAAAACTTATTATGTCAAGCTGAAAGTGTGAATGTTCAAAATTTATTGTGAGTTGATTACAAACCAAAGGCAAGGAAAAAACCAAAGGCAAGGAAATGGACCGATTAAGGTAGATTGGGGGGACACAGGGAAAATGGAGGGATAAGTGGATGAAAGGGTTGTATGCCAAGAGGCTGCAGTCAGCGTGCCTCTTTGACCATGCTCTGCACATTTGATCTTGTCTTCTCAGTAAACCGTTCCTCATGCATGGGTGGACTCTTTCTGTGTGTGTTTGGGTGAACTTCAGGCTGGACTGGCTGCTGAGGGGGTTAAAAATCTGAATGCAGCATCTGGAGCACGGCTGCAAGCTACAGGGCTGTGAATGTGTYTGGGTATAGAGGAGGTGCAGGGCCAGAAGCTGTGCTGGGAGGGCTGTGTGTTTAAGAGCAGCTACTGAGGGTGTCCACGCTGTTGGTATTTCCGTGCCAGTGCCTCACCAGGGACAGAAGTTCTCACCAGAGRGAGCAAGCAATGGGATGGMTCCACCAWYCCYTKKCACATGTGTCCAAGTGCCTCATGTYTTCTGTCTGTGGYGGTCTCTGTGTCCAGTCTCATGTCTCTCTGGACCCAGACATGAACCAGCCTCCAGTTCAGTACTGCCGACAATAATCTACCTGATGCTGAAGCCAGACATCGCTTGGGGCCCACAAGTATTCAGATGGACAGCTAGAAAGATCTAAGGTCTCAGAGAAGAGACCTTCTTTCTTGCATGTAAAAACATCTCTCCCAGCACCCAGTGTCTCCGCCTCATTAAACAACTTCCCCTCCAATAAAGGAAAAATCTGAGAAAAGACAGTTCTTCTGTTTGATTCTGCTTTTCCATGAGTCACAGAACCACCAGATGACTGAGGCTGGTTCATGTTCAACCCTCCTTGCTCTAGCAGGGCCACCTGGAGTGTGCTACTAAGGATCTTTTGTGAATGCTGCCTTTTCACAGACTCCACGACCTCACTTGGCAACCTGTGCCTATGTTCTGTCACACTCACAATAAAAAAAGTGTTTCCTGGTGTTCAGTTTCCTGATGTTTCCTCCCATGTTTCAGTTTATGCCCACRGCCTCCAGTCCTGTTGGGACAAGGTGATTGTATAGTATTTACACATAAAATTGCACTACAAGACTGCAATKAGATATTTTAATACACTTTATGTAACCTTTTTTCTGATGCAGATTTAAAACCCCTGGTRGCAGGGCTACTCAAATGGGGCTCCCCAGTCACTGAGGAACTCTTATCTGGATTCTATCAGGGTCAAAAGTGTTTTATGGCATTGTCAGCCTTTCAAGGCAAATACTTCTGCCACACCTGCTGTAGAGGTGGCAAACAAGGCTTTGCTGTCCAAGCAGAATTACAGTCAAAATGATTAATTTTAATCACAGCACCTCAAGAAAAGGAAATGAGTAGCTCTGGTCAATGGTTGATATTGCTGAGGTCAGAGAAGCAGGTTCAAGGCTTGTAACTTGAAAGTTTCTACTGAATTTATCAGGAAGTCTTTCTGTGCTGTTTATTGCTTTCTTATTAGTCTCCTCGTACCATTCCTGTTTTCTAATTCTGTATTTCCTTCATGTTTCTGTTATGGCTTTTTGATTGGTCTCACAGCTACAAGGCTTAATCAGTTCATCATCTCATCTAAAACATCTTAAGTTAAAAAGATGCATGAATAGCTTGGCTCAGATTTTATAGATTTTTTTTTTTTTTCTGGCTCCTTAAGGACTGTTTTGGTTTGAATAATTTTCTTCTGCAGTTCCTACTGCTGGTGCTCTTCTACTGTATCTGTGCTTCTACATCACTTCCATTGTGGATAACTGAATGAGACCATATAATTTTAAATGGGATAATCTCTTCCAGCTCTGATCTATCCAACTTTCTTTCGGCAATATTGTTTCTTGGATGCGATTATCTCACTCAGAGCAAAGCTGGCTGGTACTAGACCTTTCATGATTGTTTTGTGGTTTTTGGGCTGTCACATACTTATCCAACTCTTCTTTGTTTTTTTTTTTTCGTGATTTCTGATTAGTTGGAGTTCTTTCTTTCCTTATTTCTGTGCATGTTGACAGTCATACTAATTGAGAATATGAAGTCTTGGATCTGTGGCAGAAGTAGAGTTTAGCTGTCTCTAGTACTGTCTATCTTAGTATAGTTTATCTGGTTTGGTGTTGAATGTTCATATCTCTTTTTGCTTTACAACTCTTCACAAGGATCAARCTTTTCACGTGACTTTAGAATTCAGATTACAATAATTTCTTTGGTTTTTTCTGTGTTTTATAGGTAGTGGTCTCATTTGCTGTGGTTTTCATCATCTTCTCTTGGAGGATACTTCGCCTACATCTGAATGTTTATGTTTGCCTTTTGCWTTTTGAGGACTTCATGGCACAACCAGCAGACACAATCCAGAAGAACTGACATGGAAGTGCCAACACCACCCAACCCAGGAAAAAACCTGTTTGGCTTGGAAGTTATTTTTCTCACTATTTATTGGTTTTCTTGGTTTCACACGCACATCCTGCCTCGAAGGGATGAATGACCTTTCATACATTTCTTGGCAGGATTACAAATATGTTATCAAACGAGGTGAGTCTGAGGTGCTGAGCTGAGCTGAAAGACATTGTGTAGTGATTTAAACACTCAGACTAAGAGCAGAGGGTTTGCCACCTAAGCAAACCAGACAAAGGTAACTGATAAATCCTGGCAGAATAGGATAAGATTTAAATGAGTCCATTTAAATGTTGTTTGTAGGAACTTGCTCCTAATGAGAGGTTAGGTTTGGTTAATTGAAGTKCTGTGGGGAGAAAACCTTTTCTTGGTGACAGAAACAGCAGATTTGTGGRTTCAGAAGTGCTTAAGACRACTGAGAACTGCMAAGATGCATRTTTTAGGTGCCACTGATATTATAGAGAAAATACTTACAAASTGCCTAGGAGCAGACTTTGTTTCCRTATTATTCCTCTGARCTTMCATCAGGCTGCCAGGAATAAAMCTGCCTTTGCAGGTTCACAAGCRGTAGCYGKCTSACGGGATGTTTTGGCATTTGTGCCATGTGTTCAGCTGGGAGACTGTGAATCTTTAGGAGTTCCAGTATGCCCCAAAGAGTGCAGATCCCCAGGAAATATACAGATTTATTTTGTAGATCAGTGTGGAGGCATTGATCTCTTCTCGTTGTCTCTTTCAGGACAAGTGTTACATCTGCACAGCTAGTGTGASAACCACCAAGTTTAGATGCAAAGGACTTCACGTTGGTGAGGCTTATTCTGCAGGGCATCCCAAGACCTATCTGCCATTAGGGAAATCAACCTGGACACAACAGACCAGACTGCCATCCCAGGCAACAGCCCAACTGCAAGGATGTAGAATGAGATTTGATTTCCCTGTGTTCAGGAAACAGATGATTGGCACAGAAAGTGGCACTCCTTCCCTCCTCCTTTAACTGAAATCATTGATGATGCCACATTTGAGACAGTGCAAGTCACTGAGGTGTAACTCAGGCYCTGCCCCAGCGTGGGACTGGTCACATTGAATCGCTTTTCCACGACAGGATAAGTAGAACTGATTCAGCACCAGACATCCTGAGCCCTATCGCAGTGCCCTTTGGACCTCTGAGTGTTTGAACCATAGAATTGGCTCCAAACACATGCCCAGCACAGCACCCCAGTTTGTAAACTGAGTGATTGGTCATTCACTTGGAGCAGTGCCAACAGCAGTTCTATAAAGGAAATGTTTAACACTGGGTGACGTGAAGCTATGAGCTTGTGCAAACATTAAAACAGCTGTTTTAAAGGCTTAAAGTATTAAAATGTATTTGGTTCATTAAGGAAAAAGTCCTGATGAGCCCTCTAACTTCAAGCAAGTATCTGGCAATCAGTACAATATTGCTGTAGAGTGACATGACATATCTTTGACACATTAGACTTCAAATGAAAAGTGACATCTTCCCAGGAACACTGYTTCATTATAACATTCTAGGTTTGCAGATTTTTATTTTGTTGCTTCAAAATAGTTTGGAAAGACATGAGAGGATTAGGATATACATAAGAGCACAGAGTGGAARGAAACGTATTTCCTGTGGGAACAACAACTCTTTGTAGAGCCGTCTGCTGTTGAGAAAGCAGTCGCAAACATCGTGACAAACTGTTACAGTAAACAATTCTAAGAATTGTGAGGCAGTCCTTTTCATTTCTGTAACAGTAAAATTATGGAACTACCTGTTAAAGTTCCCTTTTCTGCAGTAATTTTGGAATGAGACTTGATTTAGGGAAACCTCATCATGATTCACACTGTGAATTTATTTTCTCATTATTCAGTCAGGGCTGAGGGTGGAAGTCATAAGAACATGTTACCAGAGATAGCTAGGGGAAAAGGGAAAAAGGTCAAATCCAGGCCCTAGGTAAGTGAGGTACAAARCAAATGGAAATCCATTTTCCATTTAATAGTTTCCATGTAAGCAGCTCTTGGAACACCTATGCTATGAAGACAGGCTGAGASAGCTGGGACAAGAAGGCTTCAGGGAGATATGATTGTGGGTTTCCAGTATTTAAAGGGGGAATGTAAGAAAGARGCATAGGGACTTTTTACAAGGGTAGATAGTGATGGAACAAGAGCAAATTRTTTCAAATTAAAATACAAGAGATTTAGATTAAATCTTAGGAAGTCATTCTTTACTTGGAGGGTAGTAAGGCACCAGAACAAGTTGTGGATGTCCCACCCCTATAAGTGTTCAAGACCAGGTTGAATAGGGCTCTGAGTCTAGTGGAAGGTGTGCCTACAYATGGCAGAGGGGTTGGAACAAGACTACCTCTAAGGTTTCATCCAAGCCATTCTATGACTCCAAATGCCTACAATTTTTAGCAAATTCCTGGCAGGGACAGTGTTTGGAGCTGCCCAAATCTGGTATCCTGATAGATCTGATGCTGCTGCAGCTCTCTGAGCCCAGGTCCAGCAGTGAGGCTGTGTTTGTATCCCAATAGCTACATGCACATATACATGGGTACCCAATGGACTTGCACCCAGTCACAGCACCATTGACTCGGGGGCCTCCAGCCCCACCCCAGAGGCACTCACTGAGATTGCCSAGGCAGGATAGAGCCACTCACATAGGAAAATAACTAGAAATGGTGTTTAGTGAGAGGCCGGGACAGTGCCAGTCAGATRCAGGTGTAGCACAGTGGTCCCACAAGAAGAATGCGGAACTCTGTAGGCACTAGTCGGCACTCAGTAACAATTCTCATGAGACCTGCTCCTCTGAGGAGATCTCAGTTTTGTTTTGGTATATTCATGTTTCACTCTGTTGGGATTTGAGTCTTTGTCTGAAGGCAAGGATTTGAGGTGGAGGAGGTGGTGATGCACTAGCTGTCACACCATGGGAAAGCAGATGAGTGAAACCCGTCCTTCCCTGGAACATGGGTTTAAGGGTGTTGTGCCGATGGACACGCAGTAGGAAGTCAATGCAGATGGTGAAATGGGKCACAAACTCATAGTTGAGCACCACAGAAATGCTTGAGACAGGGGGAAGCCACTGCTTCTGCTTCCTCTTCCTGATGCTGCTCAAGGTTTTTCACTCGGTGACTCCTCAAATGCAGAGTTCCCACTGCTAGTGCTGGAGTCCAGGACCTTCTAGTCCTTCCACTGGCTTCCTTGGAAAGTGATTTTTTTAAAGTTTCATAGACAACAGCCAGATGTCCTCTCTGACACTCTCGCTGACTCAAGAGTATCCTCCTGTTCACGCTGAAATTTGGCCATAGACCCTTCACAAAAATCTGCAAGGCAGAAGAAATTCTCTGTGAGAGCCACAGCAACGATTTCCTTACGTTCCTATCCCAGCCACCAGATGCATCTGATTAATCCGCTTCTCTTGTTTGCCTGTACGTGTTTAACCATGCCTATGATGCCTCCAAAAAATAAGAGAAAACAATAGAAGAAATAAGAAGTTAACTAGTTCCTATTGAAAATAAATAAAAAATTAAGGTATTGAATCAGGAAATTTATAAACCRGGCTAAAGAAACACAGGAGAAGAAAAAGTTACAGGAAAATAAGACTAGTTTAGAAACAGAAGTTAAGCAGCATTTCACAAATCCCAGAATATTTTGAGTTGTAGCCAAGTCTTTGCAACACAAAAAATTCTTTTAGGAAAAACTAATTTTTGTCTGAATCAAGATGGATTAAGAATAACCAATAATTAAGTCTCCTTGGAATATGAACCATGAAGATGAATTTCTTTGGTCTACAAAAGCTGTACCCTTTGAGGAATTCTTTTTCTAGTCAATTCAAATCCCAGCCTCTGCWTTTGAAATGTCTTATATTAATTTCAATCAATCACTCCAGGCAAGCTAAGTGACTTGCATTGGAAAGTATAAGGTAATTAACTTTTCCCAGGAATGGTGTAACTCTGCTGAACCTGGATATAATTAGGGAGTGCTACATCACAGTAGTCTAGAATCACTTTTTAAGTGTATTATTTTTCATAATGTTTGGGAAAGTAAGTAAAGAATTCCCAGCATGATTAAAATARTGGTGTTTATTTGTATTTCCCCCTCGCATGCTAACATTTACAGTTTTTCTGTTAAGGTTTACAAKAAGTAACTTTACCTCCAATAAGGASAGGAACAAWAAAGCCRTYCTGAAAGATGYCCAGTCTGTACCTGATACCCTGCAGAGTTAGCAAATACATATCCCCWTCWGGCCAATTAYTTTGGCRCTTCCAKTTAGAAATGTTTTCCTGAGTTTACRGCTCTACAYGGCAGATATGTGACCRAGATTTTTAAACTTCTYTTATCACTGTTAGTTAGGGACCCAGCCAGTASAGTTGATGTGGYAATGAGAGCCTAATTCCTCTCATCTAGAAGGCTGTGCTACATGGTCAGTTGAATTACCTTCCAGAATCCAGTGTCCGAAATGGGAAATTAAATACGTAAATAACTTACAGATATCTATATAACTAAACACTTAAAGCAGATTTCACCTCATTGTTCATTTGCTGTACTTGATACACCCACTCAGGGCTGGCTACCACAACACAGGAGCTATGGAAACCTGCATCCTTCCACGGCAGCTGAGGTCAAGTGTGATTCCCTAGAGAATTCCAAATAACACAAATGCTCAGGCAGTTGAATCCCAAATGTCATGTCTAAACTTAATCACTGTTGTTTAAGACCATTCTAGGGTCTTGGAGACTGGACTTCACTAAATTTTTATTAAAAGCTTACTTATATTTACCAGCTTTTATYGTGGTTCTCTCTCTCTTCCTTCCATGAAACAGTGAACACAGAGTAAATAARGTTTACTTTAATCTTTGTTTCCACACTGATGAAAATTCCTGTTTTCTTTCATGGAGTCTTTTCCTCCCAGAGTCCATCTTTCTCTGCCTGAGTCSAAACACACTATGGCAGATGAGACCTTATCCATGCTGGCAAAAGCAGAAATGTTCCTTACCATACATATGGAAATCAAGATTACGCATTCCAGTAGCATGACCGAATCTGTCAATAACAGAAAAAAATGGTGAATCATTTTAGCACTCATTTCTGCTAACATCTTAAGATTGTTTTAGATAGAACTGTTAGATAACTGATGATAGTCCTGCTGGAGTTATGCATCTGATTATTTCTAAATAAGATAGGTTCTTTCTACTGTCATTTGTTTTTTGCTGTTACATATTGCAATGTAATATTCTATAGTCTGTTTATGATTAAATCATACRTATCACATACGGTATTATTTGATTATCATATGACATATTATGTTGCTCTTACATGTTTCTCATCATTTCTCCAGTTTGTCAAAACCTCATGACATTAATGGTCTWAATTTATGATTCAAAAAAACCCCATATGAAATGTAGCTCCACATTTTACCTGAAAAACATTTCCTTATTTGTTAAACATGTTATGAAATTGCCCAAAACAGAAGGCTCAGGCAAARTAAGGGTAGTAATGTTAGCGAAACACATTGTGTCACTACCTGATGAGGAAACTGTTATGCATCATTTTTACTAATCAGAGGATATTATAAAGTCTGAGTCACTGGTTTACTATCAGCTATATAAACATAGCTGAGAAGAGTGCTCAGTAGCTCAAGAGTGAAACTGAGGTAGACAAACTTAGATGAGGATGAAGACCTTTGCAATTCTCCTGTCACTGTGTGTGGCCATCTCCTCTGCACGTCCTGTGGCTCCAGAAGCAGAAGATGAAGGAAAAACCCTACAGCTCGTAGAGGTAAGTATTTTTTTCAGTGCGTATCTAAGGGAAACATAAGGTAATCTGAGACAAAACTATAACAGCAATTCACAGAATATGGCTGGAAACTAAAGAAACTACCAAAACTACTAAAACTACCATTTTGCAGAGGTTTCAAGAGAAAGCTTTTCCTATCAACCTAGAAAATGTGGGAAAATCATGCAGAACTTATTTGCCTGCACGTCATCTGCATATTGTATATTTCACTTTTGGTGTTGTCAGGGAAGCAATAGCACATCTACTGAGGCATGAGTTCTAGCAGCAGCGGTCAAACTAAGCAGCAATTTACATTTCAGAATGTAAGCTTTCTTGTGAAACTTGTGATATGACTGGTCTTAATAATATAAGGAAGGAAACTTGCTTGAAACAGGCATCTTTCTTCATGCTTTGGCTGAACAGATCAATCTTAGAATATTTCGGAAAAAGGGAACTCTCATAGACATAATGTAATTTGTCGCAGACATTTAGTGGGAAGGCCTGAGTTYCTAATATCATATTCTGTAGCTGAAAATAAAAGGCACGATTTGCCAAGTCTGACCCTCTAGTAGTAGTCATCTCCTTTGGTGGGAGTCCTGGCTGTGTGGATTCTCATTGCCAGCTGCAATTTGCTTGGATGAGATCAGTTATAAGCTTCCTTGTTAGCTGTACTTGTTATTTTGGAACAGTAAATAACATAGACTTACTTATTAATAGTAAATACTCGATTTTGAAGACATTTCTTGATACACCTCATGAGTGAAACAATTTCAGAAAACTATAGAAAAACTGTACTGAAGAAAACAGGTTGCTGTTGGTCCTGGTAAACACAGGGGATGTTGATATGGAAATATTTTAAGAACACTTAGAAAATTTAGGTGTGACTAAAGACAGTGCTGATAAGTCACAATGCTCTTTTTCTTTTTAAACTCCAATTCAGAGTTATCTACAAAATTTCTACGACCTTCAGAAGGATCATCATCCCCATGTAAGAAGCCATGGTGAAAACCCTGTCACTGCAAAGCTCAAGGAAATGCAAACATTCTTTGGACTGCAAGTGACTGGAAAACCTGATCCTGACACACTGGAGATGATGAAAAAAMCCAGATGTGGTGTACCTGATGTACAGAAATACGTGTTCACACCAGGCAATCCCAAATGGAAAAGAAATCATCTGACATACAGGTAATCTTCACTAATCTTAGTCAAAAAGATATAAACCTAGCATCCCAGTTTGGGGTGGGGTGGTCTGAAGTAATTATTTTATGCCATATATGGACATCTGGAGTGATKAAGTGATTTCTGGAAGAAGACAGATGCTCAAGAAGGTGATATTTAGAACAAAGYCATTAYTAATTTTCATTCATGGAAGTTATGTCTAAGACTTTTTACTTTTTCACGTTATTATTTTTCAGCTAAAATGYTGAATTTTCAGCGATTTGCTAAACAATATATAATGTATTGGGTTTTCTTTGAAGGATTTTGAATTACACCCCAAAGATGAGACGAGCTGATGTRGATGAAGCAGTCAGGAAAGCTCTCCATGTCTGGAGCAATGTGACACCRCTGACATTCCAAAGGGTTGAGAACAAAGAAGCTGATATAGTGATCTCTTTTGCCTATAGAGGTAACAATGATAACGTGGGATATTAAATATCCATTAAAGTCATGGAAGTAATTTTTGATTTCAACTGATTTTTTCACCTCTTGCTTTTAGACCACCGTGATAATTCTCCTTTTGATGGTCCCAATGGGCAGCTGGCTCATGCATTCCAGCCTGGTGAAGGCATTGGTGGAGATGTGCATATGGATGAGGAGGAAGAGTGGACAARAGATGGAAGAGGTAAACATTTGGTAGCTGAACCTATTTATATGGGTTTAACCTCATAGAGTCCTACCTTATGTGACGCTTATTATTTCATGAGCCTGACTACAGACAGAGAAGTGAGTAAAAGGGACAGAGCTTTTAATTTATAACTGCTTTCCCGTTTTTATTTTTTTGCTTTTATTCTTGCTGCTTTTAGTCACGAACTTGCAGAAAATAGATTTTTAGATCACAGTGGCATTTCTAATGTCATATAAATGTTTAGGTCATAAGGGTTTACAATGATTTTAAGGTCAACACTTTAAAATACTTTTTCGTTGAAAGGAAAGCAAAAGCTTGGATACAAGAAGGTCTGCCAATAGACTTCTGAAAGCAAATTCTTTCTTTTTTTTTAAACTAGCACTTCAAAGTTTGGTGCTAACTAGGGTGTTCCAAGTATCACTGAAACTATAATATCTTTGTTTGTTTTGAAGTTCTTTTTCTGTTACATTACTGCCAGCAATCCCTCACCACAGACATGATCCTTGATCTGGGCAGGTTATGTGATAGCAGGGGAAAGGCTCATGTTTAAGACACAGGGATGCTAGAGAAATGACAGCAAGGCCACAGTTAGAGCCAGATATTCATTATATACTCATCCAACTCTTCAGCCACAATGCTTTTGGATTGTGATGATGACAGAATTAGAGTCYCTCCTGTACCTCTTGTGTGCTTTAGAACATATGTTTCCCGTTTAGTCAGCTGTGCTAAACATTGAAACAGATTTTTCCCCATTTCATATGTTTTTTATCCTACAGGCTACAATTTGTTCATCGTTCTTGCCCATGAGCTTGGCCATTCACTGGGTCTGTCTCATTCRAATGATCCTGGAGCACTGATGTATCCAACTTACTCCTATACAGACCCCAATGAATTCCTTCTTCCTCAGGATGACATTAATGGAATTCAGGCCATCTATGGTAAGAAATAATACATTCATTTAATATTKCTATCTGGGAGGCTGATAAATGGTAAGAAAATATGTAGTTATTTAATATTTCTACTTGGGAGGCTGGTAAATGGTAAAATGAATATATATGATATTCCACTAAAAAGAGAAATTTAACAGTTTCTGGAAAATGGATTACAAAAAAGAGATAACTACTGGAAGCTAATTTCAGCTGAACTCCAGTTCCACAAAAATCTCATTTTGGAAAAGATGGACACAACTAGTTTTAACAGCATTGGAATTCTGCATTTAAGGATAGATCCTAAATGACATCCTTTTTTAATTCTCTGTAGAAAGTGTTTTCTGGGTTCTCAGAGACCTTCTGAACACTTTTCTCATATTTCTCCATACYAAATGATAAATATTCATTCTACAGGACAGTCTAATGTTGCTGTGCAGCCAACAGGACCCATAACTCCAGAAGCTTGTGATCCAAAGTTGACATTTGATTCTATTACTACCCTGCGAGGAGAAATATTCTTCTTCAAGGGCAGGTAACAACAATAAACATATCTATTATTTCTTATAATATTTGGTAGTTTAAAAAAATCCAAGAGGGAAAACTGTCCTTTTGGAAGGTAAGAAAAAGAGAAGCACTAGAAAATCACCATGTATTTACAGAAGGGCCTTCTCAGATCACTAATCTGAGGAGCCCTATTTGATAAAAGTCRGGAAGGTGACTTGGACTTGTAGGTTGTTTTCCAGCCATTCTATTGCTGCAGCCACCACTGCAACAGATTCATCTGTGAGCTCAATTCAACTAAAGAGTGAAGCAAGAGCTCTCATGTATCCCTGAGCAATGTGCCCATGGGTCCCACACTCATCCTCAGCGTGCTAGCAGGGGCAGAACCCAAAGCACAGCCACGGAAAAAGATGTCTGAACCTTATTGCCCTACAAAAAAAAAGAAAATTGAACCTTATATTAAATTGGCCTGATTTTTAGCATGTAATTGAGGTGCTAAAATTACTAATGTCTTTGCTCTAGATTTCTTTTACATTCTGTGGAGGGGGTTATTCACATCCAAGTATCCACTTGCCCTCTGTTATACTCCAAGAACTATAATAATAATTTTGAAATTTTTATAAGAATGGAATTATTTTATGACATCAATTTTGTTTAAAACAGATACATGCTGCGCAAGCATCCTCAGAGGACAGAGACAGAGCTCAATTTCATCTCACTGTTCTGGCCAAGGCTACCATCAGGAATCCAAGCTGCATACGAAAACGTTGAGAGGGATGAAATTTTAGCTTTTAAAGGTAATTRAATCAGAAGTTCTCCACTTTTTCCAGCCTGTTACTTTCTGCTTCTTCACAAACTATGCWGTTACAGAAGTTAAAGTGTTTTTAAGGAAGTAGAACGATAATCTTACATTTCTGGATATAATTGAACCAGAGGATCATACTGCTGTAATGGATCTCCAGAAGTCATAATCTAGAAAACTTTCACCTCCCTTACAGTTAATGCCCTGGAGAAAAAAAAAAAAAAAAAAAAAAACCCACGAAAACAGCTACCTTTCTTCAGGTGTAGTTCTCTTCAGCTAGCAGCACTTCACTTTGTGCAGAAGGATTTTTACTGAATTCACTTGACAAATACAGCATTTTAATGCTACAGTTACTGATATACCTAATAGTACTTGTTATATTTTGAAAGAAAAATGCAAAAATATGTTGGTGGAAAATGGTACTGTGAAAGGAAAATTGTTAAATTGAACTAACAATCAGTCCTTCTTTTTAAAGGTCTCAAATACCCTTCAAATATCTCAATTAAATTAATTATGCCCATACTATAATACATGACCTATTACCATATATAAATATGTTCATTGTATCTAAAATTAYCAAAGCATTTTAATTAGATGTGTGCTTTTCTTAACAGTTTAATTTGATGCATATTGCCAAGTTTTCAAAATATTATATGGCTCTATAATCAAATAGTATATTACAACAATTGAATAAATTCACTGTCCCAATCCAAGGGCAATGGCTTCATTCATCAACATTCAGCCTTTCTTAAGTTGTTATCCACACAAATACCTTATATTCATTCAAAAAAAATAATCTGGAAAAGTTCTATCCAATACACCTTGTCATTCTAGCGTTCTAATGATTTATTCTTAAAAAAAATCCATTTCCTCTGTTTTCAAGATGTAGTCCCAGTGTAAGAATTTGAAACATTTTCTAAAGTAGTAAACTGAAAGGAATAACAGTGACATCTAGACATACTGTTTTTTACACATCTGAAACACAAGTAAATGCTGTTTATAAACAGCAATAACAAATGAAATTTGCTCATTTTTTTCAGAGGATAAATATTGGGTCATCAGGGGATATGATGTTGCACCTGGCTATCCCAAACCAATCTATCACTTGGGGTTCCCAAAAACTGTTAAAAGACTTGATGCAGCTTACAGTGATGAAACCACAGGAAAAACATACTTCTTTGTAGCTGGCAAATATTGGAGGTAAGATTTAATGTTCATTTACCAGAAGGCATGTTTTCATTTCCCTGGGGACTGATGTATTACTATACAGTTTGAGTGCATTGATGTTTAAACCAGGTATATTC